CGAGTAACTGCACTAGTTACTTGGTTACTAGTAACGAGTAACTGCACTAGTTACTTGGTTACTGGTAACGAGTAACTAATCTCGTTACTAGTTACTAGTAAAGTAAAGGTAAAGTGCCACTCCTACTCTGTAGCTTTGAGTTGATAATGAACATTTAGGGATTGTCTTGTAAATTATATAACTTTGCAAAGAAACGCCATGTAGAGCTGGAAAATGTCTCATTTTAATGACAAATGCGCGGGCTACGAGCATGCCTTATTAACAAAGGGTCTTCAAGAGCCATGGAGAAAAATCCCTTTAGGATATTTACTACCGCACCATGGTCTATCGATCCATGTATAGATAATTGGAATCGGAACTGGACATCTAGTCAGTGAGTACACTACCCATCTAAAGCAATGCTTTGTTCTTACTGGACACTTCTTCGTCAATAATGCTGTCTTCATGACTTCAAAATGCAAATCTTATTCGTTGTTTCGTAATCGTCATCAGTTATATTTCATTCATTTCTTTCTTTTCTTCTGTAAACAATAGTCGCCTTTTTTTCCCTACTGATAAAATGGTCATGTAGCCAAGGACACTGGTTGACGTTCTTGCGGGTATTCTTGCAAGATTCTTGTTTGTTATCGTTTCAGACAAGAGTCTTTAAATTTGTCTTGATAGATCAGGCAACATTCTTCTTTTAATTTTTCATCTTTTTTCGTGAAAGATTGTTGTCTGAAATAACAAGATTCGTCGACGATAAAACCACCAATTTGTTTTGTCAGTTTCTGTGTTAATATATAACTCATGATACTATACATAGGTACAGCTGGTTAAAATTCTTTTAAATCTCACAAGGTTCTTGTCAGGCGACAATCGAGTCTTTATATGTGCCTGTATCGGCATCAGAATGGCTAGCTCCCACATGTATGAAAAGAAAACGAAAAATGGACTATATGCATTTATTTTTGTTTGCAAGATTAGGAAATCGCTTTCTTGTAAATTGAGACAAGAATCCGTGTCGCGATTCTTGTATGAACTCACTAGAATGCAATTTCATACAAGGTTCTTATGATAAAAATACATGTAAATAGTTTACAAGATTCTTGTCTGAAATGCCAAGAAACAAGAATCTTTTAAGAATGGCCGCAAGAACGTCGATCAGTGAAGAGGTGTAGATGAAACGTAAATAGCGATGACAAAAGAAAGAGAACAATCAACAACGAGTCATATTCATCGATAAATTGCTGTCACAGTATCGAACATACGAGAAGAAAAAATATTTCTCATATAAGGTAAAGATCAAAATGTTTGCCGCTCGCAGAAAAATAAAAGCTCGAAACAGTTAGAAGCGAAAAATTCATTCTATTAATATTCAACAAAAATCACTTCAATAAATAACAATGGCCCGAGCAATTGGAATTGATTTAGGAACTACATACTCGTGTGTCGGTGTTTTTCAACATGGCAAAGTTGAAATTATTGCCAATGATCAGGGCAATCGAACAACGCCAAGTTATGTTGCATTCACCGATAGTGAACGATTAATTGGTGATGCAGCCAAAAATCAAGTAGCTATGAATCCAAACAATACCATCTTTGACGCTAAACGACTGATTGGAAGAAAATTTGATGATTCAACCGTTCAAGCTGATATGAAACATTGGCCATTCAAAGTTATCAACGAAGGTAAAAAAACTTATTTAGTTGAAAGCATTTTCTAAGCAGAGATCTTTTGAAGGTCATAAGGGATGAGACTAAACAGTAGCAAAAATAATATTTTTCACTCAAGAATGGACGCTGACTCGAAGTGGTACAAACGAATTTTTGATACTAATTGCTATCGGTGATACTATGTAAAAAAATTCGAATAAGATTTCAAATATTTTTGAAATGTCTGCTTGATAGACTAAGTTGCATAGGATAATTGCCGTTGGCTTAGTGGCGGACCAGCTGGATCGAATCTGCTTTTGTTTACTAACAGATTTTGTTATCTTCTAGGTAGTAAACCAAAAATTCAAGTTGAATACAAAAATGAAATAAAATCATTTACACCAGAAGAAATATCATCAATGGTTTTAACCAAAATGAAAGAAATAGCCGAAGCTTACCTAGGTACATATTCATTTTTCGTCTTGTACTCTGCAGCTTAATTTGCGTTTTCTTTCTAGGAAAAAAAATTTCCGACGCTGTCGTCACCGTACCTGCCTATTTTAATGATTCGCAACGTCAAGCAACAAAAGATGCTGGAGTTATTGCTGGCCTCAATGTTCTTCGTATTATAAACGAACCAACGGCTGCTGCCATTGCTTATGGTTTGGATAAAAAAGCTACTGGTGAACGTAACATCTTAATTTTTGATTTGGGAGGCGGTACATTCGATGTTAGTGTACTAAAAATTGAAGAAGGAATATTCGAAGTAAAATCAACTGCTGGAGACACTCATTTAGGAGGTATGTTTGTTGTGTACATTATTATTTAATGCTTAATAATATTATGTTATCTTTTTCGTTATTTATAGGAGAAGATTTCGATAATCGAATGGTTTCACATTTTGTTCAAGAGTTTAAACGAAAGAGTAACAAAGATTTATCACAGAATAAACGTGGACTTCGTCGATTAAGGACAGCATGTGAACGTGCGAAGGTAAATACATATATATAGAATATATATGGAAATAAATTCAATTCCACTTTGTTTCTTTCTAGAGAACATTGAGTTCATCATCTCAAGCATCGATTGAGATTGATTCCTTGCACGAAGGCATTGATTTCTATTCTAACATCACACGTGCTCGATTTGAAGAATTAAATGCTGATTTATTCCGTTCTACATTGGAACCGGTTGAAAAAGCCTTACGGGATGCTAAAATGGTAAGTTTTAAACTTGATACTATTATGCATTATAGAAATCATTGTATTTTGACAGAATAGAACTTACATCAAATCATTGTCTTCTTTTCTCTTGAATAGGATAAATCACATATACATGAAATTGTATTGGTTGGGGGTTCGACACGTATTCCAAAAGTACAAAAGTTATTACAGGATTTCTTTAATGGCAAAGAGTTAAATAAATCAATCAATCCTGTAAGTATTCCACGAGAAGTCTTATTTCACATAATTATTCATTTTATATCTTATGATTATTTATGGAATTTAGGATGAAGCCGTTGCTTATGGTGCTGCTGTCCAAGCCGCCATTTTGACTGGTGACAAATCTGAAGAAATCAAAGAAGTCTTGTTATTGGATGTTGCCCCATTGTCACTGGGTATTGAAACTGCCGGTGGTGTAATGACTTCGTTAATCAAGCGCAATACAACAATTCCAACAAAACAAACACAAACGTTCACTACCTATTCAGATAATCAACCAGGTGTCGATATCAAAGTATTTGAAGGTGAACGATCCATGACAAAAGACAACCATTTACTTGGAAATTTTGAGTTATCTGGCATTCCACCCTCACCACGTAAGTCTTGAATTTTAAAAATTTAAATTATAGATAACACATCAGAGTTATTATTGATCTACGAGAAAGTAAACAAAGAGAAAAGAAACCTGATTGAGGCTGGATCGGTAACTTGAATAGCTACACAAGCGTTATTTTTAAACATGAATGCATTCTCTCAGCTTTTTAATTGATCAATGCTAAATGTCATTTTTTTATTTTTTTATTTTTAGGTGGTGTCCCACAAATTGAAGTTACGTTTGATATTGATGCCAATGGCATATTGAATGTATCAGCCGCGGACAAATCGACTGGACGTGTAAATAAAATTACCATTACAAATGATAAAGGTCGTTTATCAAAAGATGAAATTGAACGTATGGTTTCTGATGCTGAAAAATACAAAAAGGAAGATGAAGTACAACGTGATCGCATTACAGCTAAAAATAGTTTGGAATCATATTGTTTCAATATGAAAACCACCATGAGCGATGATAAACTAGCAGGAAAAATTAGTGATGGTGATAAAGCAAAAGTAACATCGACCATCGATGATGCATTAAAATGGTTAGAAGCAAATCAATTAGCAGAAAAAGATGAATTTGAGCATAAATTGAAAGACGTCGAAAAAATATGTTCTCCTATAATGACAAAATTATATCAAGGTGAAGGTGGAGCAGCTGGACCAGGAGGTAAAGAACTACATTTGTGTGCTCTTCTGAACGGCAAATTTATGATCTAGCTTATTTTTTTTAGGTATGCCCGGCGGATTTCCCGGAGCAGGAGCCGGTGGACATGGTGGCAAAGGTGGAGCAAGTGGACCAACAATCGAAGAAGTTGATTAAAAACATTAAACAAGATAATAAATTCGGAAAATTGTATCAGTTTGTATTTGTGTGTTCCTGTATTCTCTTAGAAAGCTTATATCGTAAAAACTTTTTTTGTTGTCTTTGTGTGTCGTCCTGTATTTGTGTAAAGGAAGAAGAAAACAAAAAAGATACTAGTGAATAATAAAGGCTCGTTTGACAGAACAAATAACCCTAAAACTCAGTTGTCGATCTGCCGCATTTCAAGGAAACGGTTTTACGAAAAGGACTTCTGATAAACAATCCCGTGGAAAGACAAAAAAGCATGAGAGGTGTAACGTGTCTTTTTGGGGTGTCTTTTTCCAGAAAATGATAACTGTTATATTACTATCACTCTCCTTTTTACTAGCTGTCGGACGTCCTATACTTTCTTTTTGTATTCGCGCGTATATATGAGTGAAAAGCAACTTAGTCGTACAATTGAGAAAAAATTGAAAGTGAGTTTTTTGAAAATTTGAATAGTAGACTTTGTTCTGCGTTCTTTTCTGAGTATACACTAAAAATCTCCCAGCTACCACTTCTCAGGAGGTTGAGATAACCCATCATCAATGTTGCCCTTTTTAGTCCGACCTTCAACAACCATTACTGAACATGAACACCGTAATCAGATCATTGATCCTTTTAACAGCAAGTCTTTTTGTGTTTGAGAAATTCTCAGAAAAGCTTGTCTACGTGAAGCAAGTCGAACGGTGTATGGTACGACTATATTTCATCCTTTCTCAATCGAAAAACTCGAAACAAATTGAGGCTCCAAAAAAAGGAGGCTTCATTTTTGTTGTATAATGTAAAAATTTTCCACTTTTAAGTGCGATAATAGTCCGAAATTTTTACTGCTACTACAGGTTTCTGTGCGTTATCTTGGGTAAAAGTTTCACTCAGATTCGATCAGTAGTTCGAAAGCTACGTGGAAAAAAAAGCGAGAAAATGAGGCTTCAGGTTGCGTGAAAATTGACTATTATATTCCAACATGATGCGATACTCTAGAACATTCCATGGTGTAAGATAGATAGTATATATATCCGTGATCTGTAGAGATGGATAGATATTATGTTCACTTCTCGTTTACAATAAATACTTCTATAAGTATTGATAGTATATATTTGTATTTCATACACAAAACTGCTTAATTTCCAATATGCCGCTCAACGAAAATCGATGTTCGATGTTGTTTATGCGAACAGGTTTTTAAAGAACGAAAGTATGTACTGAAAAATTCTCCAGATTTATTTAGATATATCTCAAATTTGTAAGAATTCTTACACCACAGATCATTTTTGGATAGTACTGTTATCTGTAACCCATGCTATTTGAGATTTTATAAAGAAAAAAAATAAATCACTAAGAGATCTATCAGGACCGCAGAGTACTTTGAGCGTTCGATCGAAGGCGTTCGATTTTCCTAGGGATTTATCTGAAAATGCAACAATCCCTGTGATACAGTCCACGATCCAGCTGGCTAGCACTGCCATTGAAGAGGTTGGAGTGATTGTAGTTTACTTAAACCTAATCTTATTTCTGTTCCTGTCATCGTTCTACCTTCTTCCCGACAATGCTGCTCTATTTGCCGCTCATATTTTGTGGGAAAAAGCTCGATTCGTATTCCCGACAGCGTTAGGCTAAAACTATTGTTTCTCACAAAATCTATTTGAAAGACAATAGTTGATGCTGTCCTAGCCATCTGGAAGGTGATATCTTAAAAGTGTCGGCTCTAGAGAAAATTAAACATGATCAGTCGGAAACGAGTCTAGTATATAGCCAAGATATCATTTCGATGTTTTCTCTGATGCAAACAGGACTAAAACAGACGCTTGAAATAGAATATAAGCCTCCATCTCCTCTAGACTTCAACCATCAATTACGCCATACAGATGCTGAGTATTACACTCTTCGGCTTGTCCAAGCGTGACGCTCTGGCAGTTTTTACACGTTAATTTTAAATCAGCTCAAAAAGTAGAAGAGCTAGAAGGTTGGTTCTGGCGGCATTCGATGCAGCTTAGCTTGCTCTATTTATGATATACTGAACTCAGAAAATTTGGGTTAAGTCTCTGGTCTACAGAACTGTTTTTCGGGCCGTGACGCTGTGACAAAAAAAGGCCCTTTTTTCCGAGTGTTGCTAATTAAATGCCAATTTCCTGTGAAGTTCGTTTAACAAATGACACGTTCCTAGACAGAAGTTTGTAGAGTAACTAAAGAGCTATCAATTGCTAAAAAAGATTTTGCTTCAAACCCTTTACGTCGATTACAAAATCCAATTTATCAACGTGACGCTGTGGCACTTGTATTAATCAAATATTAATAATATACTCCCATAGATAAGAGAGGATGCAACCAGTCTTTAGTATGAAAAAATAGCTCTTGAAAAGCTCTGTAATATCTGTTAATAGGAAACTTAACGAAGCCTGGCAGCAGGTTTTATGAGTTTAATACT